TCTCCACTATCGCATTTTATAGGTTCTTCATGTCTTTTCTTCTATTCTATAACAATCAACAAATTTTTACTCTTGGAGATACATACTTAAGTATTTGGTGTTATGTTTTAGATAGTCAGTGGCCTCCAAAGGTTCATGTTGCCCCATCTTGGGGCACTGCTGGGAGGTGGTGGAACATTTAGAGGGTGGGGCCTAGAGCGAGGAAGAGGTCATTGGGAGTGCACCCTTGAAGAGCATGTTGAGGCTACAGTGCCTCTCTGCACTTTTCTCCTCTCTCCCTCCCTCCCTCCCGCCTCTCCCCCACCCCCTTCCTGGCCTCCATGACACAAGCAGTTTTGCTCCATCATGCACTCTCTTCTATGATGTTCTGCTTCACAACAGGCCTACCTAAAGCAACTATGAACTAAAACCTCTGAAACCATGAACCAAAATAAATCTTTCCTCCTTTTAAGTTGATTATATCATATATTGTGTCATAGTGACTAACACATTTAGGGTAAAATATTTTGGTGTCTTCAAATTACCTTCAAGTGGTTCCATTTAAAAAGTCATGTACAGGCTGGGGATTTAGCTCAGTGGTTCCACTGCCTGCCTCACAAGTGCAAGGACCCGAGTTCGATCCCTGGTACCCAAAAAAAAGACAAAACTAAAAAATCATGTACAGAGAGGGACTGAGGGAGGGATAGAGAAATATGAAGTTGATATGGTAGTGCATAGACGATGATGAAATTGGATAAGAAGCATACGGCTATTTATTCATAGTTGTATTCATCCAACTATTAAATACATTTTCAATGTAAATTTTTCAATGTAAAAGCATTTATAAAAACTTTCTTAAAAATTTTTTCTTAAAAACTACATGTGATGAATAACTTTTAAAGAAGATTTACTAATAATTAGAGCAGGATGGAATTTGTGACTACAATAAAGGTCCATCAATAAAACAATGATGGTTTTTAAAAAAACTAAAATGGAGCCAGCATGGTGGTGCACATTTGTACCAGCACTCTGGGAGGCTGTGGCAGGAAGATGGTAAGTTCAAGCCTAGTTTGGGGGACTTAGTGACACCTGTCTCAAAATAAAAGTTAAAAAGAGGGTTGGCAATGTAGCTTAGTGTGAATGCCCTGGATGTAATCCCCAGTACTTCAAAAAAAAAAAAGAGAGAGAGAGAGAGAAACATTTTATTATGTTAACTATGGTTCTTATTGGCTTGGTTTTTAAAAAGTTATTAGCTCAGGGGCAACCCATTTTCCAGTCCCCCTTCTGTCTCTCTTAGAAGCTTTCTCTCAATAAATTTTTCCTGCTCTTTTTTTTTTTGGCAGTAAAATTAGCATTGCTGAATTTTATTTCATTTTTATTTTTTTCATATTTTCTTTCTTTCTTTTTTATTATTTATATATTAATTGGTACATTTTAGGTATACAATACATTTACATTTATCATTGGGTGTTTGTACCTGTTCCTAGTCTTAAAAAAAAAGTTATTAGCTCATTCTATTTCTTAGTAATTTTAGACTTAAAGAATAATTTATCAGATAGTACTTACAGTTCCATGACCCTCTTCCTTTAGTTTTTCCTATTACAAAATCTTGTATTTAGCGTGGCAAATTTTTACAATGAACCAGTATCGATGCATTTGTATTAATTAAAATCAGTTTCCATTAGAGTTCATTCTTTGTTCATTCTATTCAATGGGTTTTAACAAATGATGTGTATCCACCACTACAGCATCATACAGAGCACTTGCACTACCCTAAAAATCCGAGGTTCCACTTGTTCCTCATTCCCATTTTCTCTTCATCTGAACTCTGGTAAGAACTGACCGTTTTATCTTCTTCATATTTTTGCCATTTCCAATATGCCATAGACTAGGAAACATGAAATATGTAGCCTTTTCAAACTGGCTTCTCTTATTTAGCTGTAAACATTTAAGCTTCTCCAATGCCTTTTTGTGGCTTGACAGCGCCTTTCATTTTTATTGCTGAAAAATACTCCATTGTGAGTAGAGCATATTTGTTTATCTGTTCATCTGGTGAAGGACATCTTAGTTTCTTCCAGTGTTTGGTGAATTACATTCCAGTCTAAGTTTTTGTGTAGACATAGTTTTCAACTCAACTAGGTTATTTCTTAGAAATGTGACTGCTGGATCTTCTGGTAAAACTGTGCTTAACTGTGTACAAAACTGCCAAGCTATCTTCCAAGGTAGTTGCATTTTTTGTTCCCAGCATCAATGCACAAACATTTCTGTTGCTCTACATCCTCACCAGCATTTGGTGTTGTTATTCTTTTGCATTTTAGTCATTTTAAATGTTGTGCTATTTCCTTCTTGTTTTACTTTTATCTCCTAATAACATATGCTGTGGAGTATATGCTTGCTGGCCATCTGCATGTTGTCATCTCTACTTTGATGAAGCCTCTATTCAGACCTTTTGCTTATTTTAAAATTGGGTGATTTGTTTTCTTACTGAGACTTCAGTAACCCTTTCTTTTTTCTTTTTGGTACCTGGTATAGAACTCAGGACCTTGCGCTTGTGAGGCAGGCAGCAGCACCACTGAGCTAAATCCCTGGCCCAGGAACCCTTTCTTAAAGTAGGTATTTTCATGAATAAGTAGAATGAGGGCTCAATGATCAATTCATTTATTCAGGAGCAATGACAGGTATTGCTGCTATGATACCAAGTATCTGGATTCCTCTTCTCTTTTGGTAACAACTCTGACATTTTTCCAGCTTAAAATACTTAGTACTTCTGACTCCTCTGCAGATGGGGTGGTCACATGACATGGGTCTTACCTAATCAGAAACAAAATGTAAAGTGCTAATGGGGGTTTCCTGGAAAGCTGGTTAAATGCGACAGTCTTAATTGGCATGCACCTTTTTGATATTCTGCTCCTTGCCTGTCTCCCCTACCATTTTCCATGTGATGAAATGCCAAGAAAAGGAGCAGCTAGTTTTTGAGGATGAACTCAAAGTCACATGACTAGGACATTATAGCCAATGGGCTAAAAGGAGCCTAAGGCACGGGACACCAAGGAGATGCTGTAGAAGCCTTGGGGCTCCAATCTTATTTTGTGACAAGTGCCCCTACTGGTAATCACTTTAGTCAAGTTTCTGTGACAGGCAAACAATTCACTCCCTGATTCAGCAACATTTTTCAAACACTTATTAGTGGTGGGCACATGTCCCTAACAAGACTACTCAGAACAATTTGTATTTAAACTAGTTCACAGGTACAGTGTATTTGAAATAATTTTGTTATATTATGATCAAGTTGGGCTTTTTTTTTTTGGTACCAGGGATTGAACTCAGGACCTTGCGCTTTCGAGGCAGGCGGTGGAACCACTGAGCTAAATCCCCAACCCAATTTTGTTATATTATGGACACAATACTAAGAGTAGAGGTATATTTACTACAAGTTCAGCACTGTGTGAGGAATTATGCATAAAGGAAAGAGAAGTATAAATTGAGGACCTTACCCTCACAGGACTGATGATCTAATTAGGGGAGACTTAACCTGTATTAAGCAAACCTGAACAATTCAGAAATGTTTGAGTAAGGGCTAATACCAGGAGTGTTGCAAACTAAGTCTAGCAGCAGCTCATGCAAGGAAAAAGTTACTGAAGAAAGGAAGAGCCAGGGAAATGTGACTGGCAACTTTGAACACACCCTAGGTGTCTTATGCCTTCATATTTTTGAGTTCTAAATCAATGATCTAAATATAGACATGGCAGCTAGTCCCCTGGGTAAGTGAAGATGAAATGAAGGAAAGTCATTTTAATTTAAATGTCAATTCAGCTTTGGATTCAGGACTACTAGGACTTTGGAATTATTCACTAAAATCTTGTTTACCTTATTAATTACCAGTATATATCAAGTAGGGACAATATGGTAATGTATCACTTTAAAAGAGAGCTTTAAAAATCCATCCTTTGAAAGTAATGACTGGATTAGACATTTTATGAAGATGAGCGCATGATTTTTTTCTATTGTCTTTCTGGTCCTGCAAACTTCTGAAATCATTATCAACTGCTGTGTATTTCCCCTAGCTTTTAGTTGCTGCTGATAGTGGGAACAGTTGTGGATTGTTATCAGGTGTCTGTAAGACAGATCAAGATACCTGAATTAGCGTTTTGGGGGGTCTTTATTGGTATTTGGAAATTTTTTTCCTAAATGTTTTTCCCTTTTGTGATCTTACTTGTAATTTTTTAAAGGCATCCAAATAAGACGTATTTCTATTCTACATTTCAAACTCATTTTCTTCAGGACCTAGGAGAACATACTTGGCTTTTCTTCTTTTCCTGCTCCCTTCTTTTCTTCTTAAATCTATTTTCAATTCAGTCATCTGGCACTGCCTGCCTATGTTCCACTATGATAGGGCTTAGGTTAGGGGGCTCAGGGATAGCCTGTGTTTCATAGGGATTGTGGCTTTTCTCACATCTGGGATGCAGAGAAATTGGAGATAGGGTAAGCACGAAAGGGAAGAAGGGTCTGCAGAAGAAGATGAGAAGGGTCTGAAGGCACACCGTTAACAGATTAGTGCAGGATATACAACCAACTGATGACAGGGCCATAGTCCTCTCAGAAGTGACTAAATCCTCAAAACCCAGGTACACCGACCTTCGATCCTAGGAGCCCTCAAAACCCAGGTAAGATTAGGGTATAGGTGAAAACTCACGGCGATTGTCGTGGGTGCACAGCAACCGGAGAGGCTACAAGGATGAACTCAGCCAAAAGTAACCCCACCTGGCCACTCGGAAAGGGACTCTAGCCAAAACCTCCTCCCGGAGCTGGGGTGAAGGACTAACAGTGAGAGCCTCCTCCTCCGCAATCCCCCGCCCCTCGGCGCGACGCTCCGCGCGCGCCTGCTGGCTCCCCATTGGCCGAGGCGCTCGCCAATCCTAGCGAAGCGGCCCTGTGAGTGGGCTCTGGTTGGCGGAGCAGGCGCTGAGCCCCCCTCCTGCTCAGGCCGGGGGCACCCCCCCGCCGGGAGGGGGCGTGGCCGCGGCTGTGGCCGGGCCGGAGTGGGTGTCGCGCTCGCAGCCGCTGCGTGCGGTGCGGTGCGGGGCGGGGGCGTCGGGGGGCTGCGGCGCAGCGGGACCATGGAGCTCAGAGCACAGCCCCGGAGCCAGAGGCGAGATCGCGGACCGGTGAGTCCAGGCTTCGGCCCGGCCGTCTCCCCAGGCTGCCTTTTCCTGCTCCGCTCCGAGCTCTGTGGCTGACGAGGGATGGGAGGGGCGGGCCGGGCCCCCGCGGCCCCCGCGGCCCCATGGTCAAGTGAAGTTGCTGCATCGCCCTGCGCTCCGGCCGGCGGCGAGGCCCACTGCGGCCCGCGCCTCCACCGCAGCTCGGCTGCATCCCACGCGCCCGCGCCAGCCGGCCGGGGCTTCCCGTTGTCGTGGCCCGGCAGCCCTTGACCCGCCGACCCCCGCGTTACCCCATGTGCCTCCCCGGTGAGACGCGGGACAGCAGCCGCCCTCTCGGCCGCAGGTGGCGCCCGGGCCTCCGCTCGCACCCCGCGCTCCGCGCTCGAAGCTCCAGCCCCCCCCCCCCCCCCGGGCCCGGGACCTTCGCATCCTCTTCTTGCTCGCCCGCGGCCCCGCACGCCGTCGCTGACTCCGGCCCAGCCTCGTGTGCCCGCCATCCCCGGGGCCCTCGCCCCGGGTCCCCGGCCCTCTCGCCTTAGCTGCTCCCTGGTGCCCGCGTGCTGCGTGTCGACCTCCAGGTCCTGGACACGAGGCCACGCTCTGCTCCCGAGTGCGGCGGAGAGGTCGGGGCATCCCGCCCTGGCGCGCTGCAGGGCGAGGGGTGAGGGCTGCGAGCTCCCCTGCCGGACCAGCCCTCGAGACTCAGCCGCGGCGCCGAGCCTCTGCATCTGCAAAGTCTTTCCCTCTTCGTCTTTGGTACTTATGGGGAGTGGCGATTTCTTCTTGGTTTGGCCTCATTGAAAGGGATAGTTCTCTAGTGGAGAGCAGTGTTCTTAATTAGAAGCTGCGACAGGTTTAGGGATGAATGGGAACTTGTCATTTTCTTGGCTGCTCTTGGGTGGAATAGGAATCCCTTCTCATTTGGGAATTAATTTTTAGTTTGGTGATTAACTTCCAACAATTAATTTTTCAGTTTTCAAAATATTGAAAATTAGACTCATGTTTGCATCGAAGCTCATAAAATCGCAAGCAATGTGGCGTGCATTCAGAATCTGCATTTTAAACGGGGAGAGGCTAGCCAATTGAAGTATTTTGCATTGTAGTTTTTTTTTCAAAACTGTTAAAATGCTTGCGAGTCTATGTAAAAAAAACTGAGCTCAAAGTGTTGTAATTGACTGATTTTTCTGTTGCTTCAAGGACCAATTCGGTTGAACATTGGCTGTTTCTTTTTGTATATGCTTTACTAAACTTTCTTTTTCTAGCAGTGAAACAATGCAGTGATTCTTTACAGCCAGTTCTTTTATCTACTTTCGAGGTTAGACAAGAGAAAGCTGGTTTGACCTTTCCCAAAGGCAGTTCTCAGTGTGTCTCCTCTCCTTCCTTCTCCAGAGTTCTAAGAGCTTCTGCATAGTACCAATTTTTCATCTTAAAAGATCTAAACTGACATTAACCAAAATTGTGGGTTTTTTTAGATGTTTAAAGTACTCATGTTGTAAAGTTTGGTTTACTTTCATATATTCACGGCCCTGCCCTGTGCTTATGTTAATTTAAAAAAGTGAGAAGCTTGTTCTAGAACTATCTACATGTAAAAATTGTTCTTGTGCTGCCAGTTGCTGATGCAAAGTTGGCTTATAGCATTGTTTTATCTGTTTACTTAAAATTTGTGATCTAATTGTCAATGATGTACTACACCACTTTAAAAAAATCTGACAAGGTAGAACGCACTTATCTAAGTGGTCATGCCAACATGGTAGCCCCTCCCCCCACTGTCAGTGTATCTTTAGACATACTTTACAGTTTCTGTAGAAATTTGCATGTGGCAGTAATTTTTTGGTTATTGAGGTGTTTCTGTAAATAATTGCATACTATAAATATTAAAGTTATTATCAGTGTTAGTAGGCCAGAACTACTGTTCTTCAGATTTCAAGAATTTGACTATAGCTTATGTTTTTCCTTGAGGAGTGCCTGTATATTAGTGTATGAACCTTAAATTGCTCACCTTTCTCTCTCTCCCTCTCTCTCTCCCCCCCTCCCTCTCCCTCCCTCTCTCTCCCTCCCTCTC